TGTGTGATTTTGAATACGAATACATGGACATGTTCAATGCTCCTATGGGTCTATTAATACATTGTTCAAAAATCCATTAATACATTGATTTTGAATACGAACACATGGACATGTTCAATGCTCCTATGGGTCCATTAATACATTGTTCAAAAATCGAAAATGGAAGTAGTAGGCCTTAAGGCCTTAAGTAGGCCTGTGCCAAAAGGAATGGCACCAAATAGTTGAAAAAATAAAGTTGCACAAATCTAATTTCGATAAATCCAATAAGTTCCTAAATAAATGTGCACCAGTTTTGCAATTAACCATAATTTAACACAATGAGATTCTTGTATATCAATGATTTGAAATCAAGGGTTTATTTAATGAGTGGCAGCATAAACTCAGGAGCTTACACAGAGTCCAAACTTCAGACATTTAACAATGTCTAAGCGATAATCTGGTAGGCTTAAGCGAAAAGCATAACATACAGATTTATTTACCATGGCATTAAACACACCAGTAACGTTTGAAAGGTCACGTTTGACAAACTCACCGGAAAACGACCAAATAGAAGACATAAAATTATAAAACATGGCGCAGACAGTTGTAGAGTTTTTAAAATTAGCCCCGTCACTCTTACCAGAGTTGAATGGAGGAGAGAAGTTGAATGGAGAGGCCGAACATCTGTAAGGTTTCATGAATGCGTTGAATCTAATATGTAAAGGTACTTAAAAAAAAAGGTAGTCATGAACTAACTGCTGTAAACATTATAAAGACTAAACTTAAAGGCTACGCTAGAATTTTGGTAAGTAATGTGCAGACAATTGTTGCCATTATTAATCAATTATACAAAGCTCTTAAAGGAAAATCCGTAGAATTTATCTTTGCAAAACTCCTTAATTTGCAGCAAAAGTGTAAATCGGTAAATGAGTATGCCCAAGAGGTGGAAAATAGACCCAGTTTCTTGAAGGAGCTTATATCAGTGATGGTCTAATCCCGGAACTAGAACTAACAAATACAGCTTGACATTAGCTGTAAAGGCCATGACGCAAAATTGCGCCATAGATAAAGTAAAACTTATCATGTAAGCAGTCACCTTCAATATCAAGAACGAAGCGGTATAAATATTTGAAAATAGTTGCAACTGGGCAGTCCAACAGTATCTTATTCTGCCAGAATTACTCTCAGCGCGCGGAAACAGCGGTCGAGGTAACTACAGAGTAAGCGCAACCGGCTCAAATGGTAACAACAAATACATTTTAGAAAAAGGCCACTTATCATTTTATTGGAATAGGATTAAAAATTATTTGAGCTCGATTTACATATTATTTAAGGGGTAGAAGTGCGGAGGAAAAGAATTTAACTATATACGCTACATTTTTTTATTGGGGCTGTGAAAGGGAACACAAGAATTTTACAAAACAACGTTGTAGAAATTACAGAATATATCCTCCTTTAATGGAGTATTCCTCGTAGAAATATCTTTAAGGCTCTTATAAATTTGTATGATATTGAAAATAAAAACTAATCGATAATTGGTAGAACAGCGATAGGTAATATTTGAATTTCTTTGCGATTCATTTTTTATTCTGCCAAGCAATTTGATAATAGTAACTCTCGCTGTACGAGCAGCTTTCAAAACGGCAGTTGTTAATATTTAAATAGGAAAGCCAGACTCAACTTTAAGAATTTCTGTATACATGTACACAGACCCATTCATGCACGTCTGCTTCGCAGTCTATCGCGCTCTAACAGCATGGTAATTAAGACTCTTTTCTGTAATGCTGTTAAGGAAGGTCGACAGATATATGATATAGAGGTCCTATCTTAAAAGATTTTGCTTATATATGAAAAGCATAGTAAAACTATCAAATGCCAAGATTGGTCAAGATATCTTGATAATCAACATTTTTTTCATATAACTACTTTATTTTCGACTGATCTGGCATCTATATGAGATAGTGGTCCATTCCAGCTGGTTCCGACATATGTAATGCGTGCAACAGAATAAGGGCCTTCTGCAAAGTTTCCTTAAGGCTCAGAGATTAGTTCGCATAGAAATAGACAGACGCGACATAGATTTTCCATTTCTGCTAGGGCGTCTTCAATTCTCTGTTCCGGCTAGACCAACCAGAAATTATCATGGTGCACAGAGTCAAACGCCTTACTGAAGTCAGTGTAAATGACATCAGTTTGCATTTTCGAAAGGAAAGCATCATTTACCAAGGAAGTAAGCTCAAGCAGATTGGTCTTAGTTGACCGATTCTTTACGAATCCATGTTGAACAGAGGAAACAACTGATTGCAGAAATGCTGCAAATTCGAAGTGATTATTTTTTCAAATAATTTAGGAATAGCAGACAGTTTTGCAATGCCCCTGTAATTTTGTATATCAGTCTTCCCACCTTTCTTGTGAAGAGGAATGATATAAGATTCTTTCCAAAGAGATGGAAAGACAGAAGTTTCAAGGGATAGATTAAAAAGCCTTAGCAATGGATAAAAAAGGGAAGAACTACACTCCTTGAGTAGACAACTAGGAATATTGTCCGGCCCAGGAGAGTAAGAAGATTTTAAAGAGTTTATAGCTAATAGGAGAGAGGAAATAATGGGGGAGGTATAGAACTAGCGGAAGAAATAGTATAAGGGTAAGAATTAGTATTAGGACAGACTGAAGAGTAAGTTGATTGGAAAAAATTAGCAAAGAGGTTAGCATAATCAGTGTCATTGCTAGCTTTATCCATCCCAAGAAAAAAAGAAGATGGCAAACTTGAAGATTTACGCTTCAAGTTTACAAAATGATAAAACTGTCTCGGATTTCGCGAATTGTCTTTTACAACGAATTAGATAATTTTCATAGCATTGAGAATTAAAAAGAAAGAAGTTCGACTTGGCTATGGAATATTTATCCAAGTCTGTACACGAACCAGACTTTTTAAACTTTTCAAAATGTTTGGGTTTTACATTTTTTAGATGTGATAATCTGGGGTGAGCCAGGGTGGTTTTGAAAAAGTAGTCGAAGAAATTGACTTAGGAATACACACATCTAAGAGGGAGTTTAGGGTCATATAAACAAAATTAATGGCTGTATTCATATCAACTGAGTCATATAAGAAAGACCAATCGGTTGAATAAATTATCTGATTCAGCAAAGAATAATTTCCTTTGCGAAAGCAATAGCGGGGCTTATTGGCTGATGAGCACGAAATGAAAAGATTACAATTTAGCATTGCAATCTCTAAAGTTGGATGATAGACATCCTCAGGAAGAGATAAAGGAGGTGACCTAGACACATTAGAAATAAGGTAGTCGTTATCAAATACAAGGTCAAGTGTTCTATTAGAAATTGAATTGATTTGAAACAACGAAAGATCAAGCATGCAGTCTATGTGCATGCAGTCGTGCTGTGCTGAGGGCACTAGATAATTTTCAGCAGTGGATAATAACCAAGAAATGTTCGGCAAATTAAAATCACCCAACAGCATTAATAGGTCATTATCACGAACGTGTGAAAAAACTTCTTTAATACAAGTAATATGATTCATATAAGCTTGAATATCAAAAGAAGGTGGGACATAAGAGCATGTTACATAGATATTCCGTGTAGGAAAAGACACCTTAACTGAGATAATCTCAGCGTCAGTAGGCGTACTAAAACAGAATAGTTCAGACTGGAGAGTGGCTTTAACGGCAATTAACACCCCATCACCTCGAGTCGGCCGATCATTTCTAAACAAAATAAAGTTATTCGGTAAATCTCAAAATCAGATATGGTTGAGTTTAACCATGTTGCTGAAAATGCTATTATATCCGAATCGACGGAAGTGCTGGCCATGAAAAATATCGAATTTAATATAAAATTTAATATCGAAAGGTACGGCAAACATCTACATGTGTGAAGGGTCGGGAAAAGGCTGATCTCAAACATAAGTTGGCTCTGGAGTCGTCGGCGGTTTACCTGGACCTTGATCTTTGGGATACAGTATTTGGCTCTTGTGATTCGCATTACCTACTGATTGACTCCGTAAAAAAAAGTGGTGTGTAAATCGTTCCAGGAGGCGTGAAGAATTACAATTGGCCGGAATGATTATGGGGATTCGCTCTTTATAGCCACAGGATCGCAGAATACCCCTTTGATCGATAAAAGGGTTGAAATTTCGAATGCTGCTTGATCCTTGAATTTGCTTCTTATCGAGCAAACAGCTATACTCCTTAGGATAAAACTTGCGTTGAGTATACTCGATAAGTAGGAGCTGAACTCGCGTAAGTTCTTTATTACGGAGCTCAGCGGGAAGGTGGATCGATGGATTTCTATAGCACTGGATAAAGCGACAGACATATGCGATAACTCGGAAACTTGTCGAATCTGGAGAATTGTTCCAGAAAGTTATAGGAGGGTAGCTGTAAGACATTACGCGTTGTTTAAACTCTGTCTCAAGTACTGTCACAGGAACTAGCCATTGGTTTTGTGGTAGTTGTAACTATTCCGGTCCATGCCACAAAAAAAAAGCAGCCCATTAGGTCCCGAGCAGAAAGCCCCGACCACCTAAGTCAGCTGAGTTTTCTGTGGATCGAACATGGGACCCTTTGCCATTGGTGAATGTTATCTTGGCTACCTGGCTAGCCACAAAGGTAGACAAGAACAATAGTGGAGTCTGTCCAATTGAAATTTTCTCTACTCTGGATGGAGAGCCGAGGAATAAGATCCGTGGTGAGCACGGAAAGAACGGCGCCATGCAGCTCTACGCGTGGCTTGATACCTTCTTAATTGGCGGGACTCACGGTTTTGCTGCCTTTTGTTTTGTTTTAATAAATTTCTGTTTTAAAAATGCCCTAGTGAGGTAGGTTTTTTGGGTGATGAACAAAGTAGGTTTTGGGCAAACTTTATTTTCATTTATCATATATATTGACCCCACATTATTGGATAGTCTCGTTGCTACGCAAAAGGCTTGCCTTTTGGAATTAATTCATAAAATGTTCTTGACATATTTATATACATATATCACATCCTTTGTTTATTCGCAGAATGGACCTAAGCCTACAGTTGATTATAGACACATATGCGCTGTTCTCTCAATTTCACATATTTGTTCCACAAGATGATTGTGATAAAGTTGAAGGACTTCAAGTTATGTTTAACAAAATGCTAGAAAACGTAAGTATTCCGTTTTTAATTAGAAAATATTAAAAAAGGTTGTTTAAGGTATTCAAGAATAGATTTACTGTAATCGTTTGTCTTTAAAATGTTTCTTAACAGCCCATACCGTAATAGTTATAAAGCTAAAGTGGTATATTCCTGCCGCATTTAGAGAAAAATAAGGAAAATATTTTGCATGCAACTTTTTTGGCTACGATCCGATCGGCCTCAAACTCATTTTCAAAAGAACTGTGTTTAAATTAATTTAAGGGGTATTACACCTTGGTGAATATGTTGGTCAAATTCATTTCAAACGATATACATGACAATTATTTAAGACTTGTTTTACATTTTACATCACAAAATCAAAGCCACCTCGTTCGAAAATGAGATTCAAAGATCTTTTCCGGTAAAATTTTAAGTTTCGTCCGATTTGCTTTTAACATCTTTTCGAAGCGATCTACGGTCTAGGGGGTCTCACCTGCTTTAATCGATGGCGAGCTGTCTCGTTGCTCAAGCAACAATTTTTGGCGGTGATGGTCAAAGGAGTATATGCTACGGCTCCAAGTACGGAGAAAGAGGCACCATCGCCTACCAAACGTCATTGTGGGAGAGCTGGTGATCATCAACAGTGGCTGATCGGCAGAGCGACGGCAGTTCACGCAGCAGAGGACGGCGTCGTTAATTATATAAACAAATATAATTTTTCATGGCGCAACCCGAGTGGGCAGTTTTAAAAGATAATTGTGCGGAGCTGTTTCTCGCGTAAAAAAAAAATAAATTTGAAATTCGGCAAGAAATAAAAAAAAAAATAAATACATGTATCCTGCTGCCATCGTTGGATGCTTACGATGCATATCCCACGCTCCGACTGAGCGCATTTGATGAGCATAATATATACGCTCACTAACAAGCATAAGCAATCTACAAACGAAAATAAAGATATTTAAAAGCACCACTCAGAGCAGCACTGCCTCAAACATTCCATATGCTATAATTCAAATTAAAACATTTAAAATGTAACATAACGACCATGACGAAGTAGCTATAACCTGCCTGGAGTAAACAAAACGACTGTGATCAACCTAAGCTGGAGCTGGAGCTGGAGCTGAAGGACCGAAAAACCAAATAAATACTAAATACAGTGGCATTAAGAAGCGAATCAGACATAGAGAGTCGGAAATAGTACGACTCCTATACAAATACAAAAATCCCCTTCCATGGGACACTGCAGTTAAACTAAATGACGAGCTCAAACATCTCGAACCAATATTAAAGCCAGTGTGAGCCCTGTCCCTTGAAATGAAAGAAATAAAACTAACAAAATATCATCGTTCACCGCCAAGAAAAATTACAGCACGCCCACGCCGATGCCCACCAGCCGAGTCAAGCAATGCATGAGAGAAAAAATATTGTAAAACAATCAAAATCAAATTTAACATATTTGATCGAGTTTATTTCCGATAATCGATAACTTACTCCGTTTCCAAGCAATCGATACAAATCGATATCGATATCCTGTTTTTTGGGAAATTTTGGTAAATAATAAGAGCTAGAGTCACCAAACTTGACATATAGCTTCTAAAATTAAATATATATATACATTTGATAATGGAAGAGGGTTCAGGGTATCCCCTAGTCGGGAGCTCCCGACTAGAACATCTTACTTATCATAATATAGAATCAGGAAAAAACTAGTATTTTTATACCCTGAACCCATTAAAAATGTATGTAACAGGCAGAAGGAGGTATCTCCGACCCCATATGTGTTAGAAAAAGACCACTTATCATTTTATTGGAATCCGATAAAAAATTATTTTAGCTACATTTACATATTATTTAAGGGGTAGAAGTGCAGAGGAAAAGAATTTAACTATATACGCTACATTTCTTTATTGGGGCTGTGTAAGGAAACACAAGAATTCTACGACACAACGTTGTAGAAAATACGGAATATATCAGGATACCTTCGGGAAGTCGCTGACCATTCCCAGCTATGAGCAAGGGCATAGTTTGCCGGACAGGTTTAAAAAATTTTTCTCCACCGGTCGGTCATTTCCCATTACATTACTCTACTTTTCTCTTAACTCTTACTTAACACTCTTTATCTAGGTTACTCTTCTTTACTTTTTAACAAATCTTCTTACTTTCTTTCCTATTTATTGTATTTTTTTAATTAATTCAGTAACTTAAGATTTTTTTGAAATTTACTCAAGAAAACTTTTTTCCTACTTACAACTTTCTGCTTATATGTAGGCTTTAATAGCGTCACTGATAAATGAGATGTGAAAAGGGGCACAGCTGGCCGGACTGGCAAATAAAACACATCCATCGGCCGGTGATGCTATTTAGAGAATTGTGTTTATTAACGAGGCTTTTATCATATAAATACATTTCTTTTGTATAATTTATTGAATAATGAGGAAGACACTCGTCATGTCGATCATAAAATAAAAACGAGAAAGAAGGGCTATCTTCGGCACGCCAGAGATCTAATACCCTTGCAGACCCAATTTTTTCATAATGCTCATAGTGCTTTGCCCCTATCTAAGAATTACCGGGAAAATAGTATATGCCGAGTTTGGTCAAGGTATCTTGATAATCAAAATGTTTTTTCATACGACTTAATTTTCGACCGATCGTTCCTATGGCAGCTATATGATATAGTGGTCCGATCTTAATAGGATTTTGCATATATGAGGAGCATAGTAAAACTAATAAATGCCGAGTTTAGTCAAGATATATTGAAAAACAAAATGTTTTTTCATCCAAAAACTTAATACTCGACCGATCATTCCTATGGCAGCTATATGATATAGTGGTCCGATCTTAATAGGATTTTGCTTATGTTTGAGGAGTAAAGTAAAACTAATAAGTGCCGAGTTTGGTCTAGATGTCTTGAAAAACAAAATGTTTTTCATACAAAAACTTAATTTTCGACCGATCGTTCCTATGGCAGGTATATGATGTAGTGGTCCGATCTTAATAGGATTTTGCATATATATGAGAGTAAAGTAAAACTAATAACTGCCGAGTTTGGTCAAGATATTTTGAAAAACAAAATGTTTTTTCATCCAAAAACTTAATTTTCGACCGATCATTCCTATGGCAGCTATATGGTATAGCGGTCCGATATTAATAGGATTTCGCACATATATGAAGAGTAAAGTAAAACTAATAAGTGCCGAGTTTGGTCAAGATATCTTGAAAAACAAAATGTTTTTTCATACAAAAACTTAATTTTCGACTGATCGATCCTATGGCAGCTATATGATATAGTGGTCCGATCTTAATAGGATTTTGCATATATATGAGGAGTAAAGTAAAACTAATAAGTGCCGAGTTTGGTCAAGATATCTTGAAAAACAAAATGTTTTTCATACAAAAACTTAATTTTCGACCGATCATTCCTATGGCAGCTATATGATATAGTAGTCCGATCTTAATACGTTTTTGCATATATATGAAGAGTAAAGTAAAACTAATGAATGCCGAGTTTGGTCAAGATACCTTGATAAACAAAATGTTTTTTCATACAAAAACTTTATTTTCGACCGATCGTTTCTATGGCAGCTATATGATATAGTGGTCCGATCTTAATAGGATTTTGTATATATATGAGGACTAAGTAACACTAATAAATACCGAGTTTGGTCAAGATATCTTGAAAAACAAAATGTTTTTTCATACAAAAACTTAATTTTCCACCGATCCTTCCTATGGCAGCTATATGATATAGTGGTCCGATCCAGCTGGTTTTCACATATATGCTGCAACAGAAAGAGGGAGTTCTGCAAAGTTTCATTAAGATAGCTTTAAAACTGAGGGACTAGTTCGCATAGAAACAGACAGACGGACAGACGGACATGGCTATATCGACTCGGCTGTTGATGCTGATTAAGAATATATATACTTTATGGGGTGGGAAATGTCTCCTTCTATGCGTTACACATTTCACGACAAAATTATAATGCCCTCTGCAAGGGTATAAAAAAATATATATATGATTCAGCATTTGGTGATAACCACAGGTGCTCCACACTGTAACGGACAGAAACCACATTTTCTTGGAACAAGCACGTAGACTGTGACATGCGTTTTTCAGATAATCCGGAGTTCAAAGAGTTGGTCCAGCATCTTATACATGAGTTACAAGACGAACGCAAACTGTTGAGAATGCTGGCAAGGGAAAATTTAAAGGTATTGCAAGATGAAAATAAACGAGCACTTTGAATAGAAAGGTGGAAAAGCGATGCAAGATAGACGACTTGATTGCGATTCGGCATACTCAGTATGAACTAGTTAAATTGAAAATGTCTTTTACATTTAAAACGTTTGTTTGGTCATATACTTCATATATAAATTAGTTAGGCTATCAATAGCAATGTCAAAGCAGATTATGTTAAGATTATCTTAATTCCCTTTTACTTGATGTAAGAAGTCTCGCTCTTTTTCGAACTTCGTAATTGTTAAAAAATCAGTTCTGTAAGCAGCATCATAGAAGTCAGTCGTGTTGTTTATCAATTTATTAAACCTTCATTAAAACATCATACCATCCACATACACCCACTTGAGATAAGATTCTTCAAAGTTAAAAAAATAAGATTGTTATCCAACAACGTCTATGGTAGCAGAATTCATCAAAGAATTCGGTAGGAGGGCTGAATGTAGGAATAGTAAAAGTTTCAGAAGAGCCAGTAGCCGAGCGACGACAACCTATTGTTGCCAATCTAAAAAAAATCATTCATTCGGTGCCGAAATATCGTAGGCTTCGCTCGCACTAGGTAGGCTTAGGCTACAATTATCAAAATAATATAAATAAACCTTAAAATAATACAACGTCGTCTCAAAGTTGTTCACCACGAAAAACTAATGTCCATAAACTTTTGGAGCTACTAAGGCTCCCGAAAATGTAAGTCCCACCTTTTATGGGGATCCCACAGGGTGGTATCTTTAAAAGAGTTGCTTCAATCAAGAAAGGATTGAGTCCAGCTTTTAAATTTAACTATTTAAGGATG